AAAATTAATAGTTATATAAATTTTATATAAATATTAATAGTTCATTTTAAAAAAAATATTTTATGAATTTTACATAATATAAAAAAGAATAAAAAAAAATAATAGTTAATCACTATTTATATTATGCATAATCATCTCGATTGAATACGAAAAAAAATTTCATAAAAATTAATGTGCAATGTTTGTAAAATATTACATATAAAATATATGGATACATAATAACGAAGATATTGAACTTCTTAAAATCTAAGTATTAAGCTTAAAAAATCATAAATAAATTATTATTATACTTATATATTATAAACTATGTAAAAATTTATCATTTTATTTATAATATGAAAGACAGATATTTATGCTTTGTTTAGAATTTAATAATAATAATACTACATTTTGTTATTTTGATTTCAATGATATATATTTATAATAAAATTGTGAAACGTTGATGAAAATTCAATAAGAAAAAAAATTTTGTAAAATATTTATTGCTTTTGACAAAATTAGAATTGATAATATAGAATTACGAAATACTTAAATATTCATGTATTTGATACATTTTTAAATTTAATTTTCTAATTAAGAAAATTTTTAGATTTTGTTATTTTTTTCAAAGTTGTTTATAAAGTTTTTTAAAAAAGGTTTTTATTTTATAAAGTTTTCATTTGTAATATAATTTTCTATCAATTTTTTCTTATATCTCTTTGACACGTAATCCAATTTACGTAGAAGAATAGTTTTGTGTATAAAAATAACAAGATAAAAGTTACAATAGTGAAATCTATTATAGTCGTTATATATAGTCATAAACTTTGAATGTAATACAAATTTATTGAAATATAAATCCATATTAATAATCATAATAATTTAAATAATAATCAAAATGATTTTTGAAGATTTTAAAAATAATTTTTTTTCCTTTTTCATTTTTAATTTTATCCTTTTGAATGTAATACTGATTTGATATTTTAACCATCTCATTAATTTGCAATCCAAAAACAATTGAAGATAATTTTAATATTGATTATTTACATTTTTTTATATTTTTTTGTACATAATAATAAATAAGATTTTTTTTCAATTTCATTTATTATTTTATTTTAATTTGATTCAATAAATACGATAATTTTTTAACAATAAAAATAATCAAAATATACTTTTTTAATTTATTATTTAACAACTTAGATATTTAACAATTTCTTAAAACATGAAACTGCTATAATTTCAATAATAATATCAATAATATCATATGTATAAGATTATAAAATAAAAATTGTTTTAAATAATTTTCCTTATTTTTATGCACATATAGAATTATTCTAAGATATTTTATGATATATTTTATATATATATATATATATCATAAGAAAGATTCATACAAGATTAATTATTATCTTTTATATTTTATTTAAATCAAACTCAATAGAAACCAAAATTTTAAATAAATATTTGCAATATATATAAAAATAAATAAATAATATTTTTATAAAATTGAATAAAAATTAATAATTCAAAAATAAAAAATTGTAATATATAATTAAAGAAAAAGTGTCTTTAAATATGGATCATTTATTCAATTAATAAATTTTTAAGTTTAAAATGTTAATAATATTAATAAAATAATATTTAATTATTAGAACAGAATATTTTTATTCAAATTTTTTTGTTATAAATATAGCAAAGAAAAATAAAAAAAATTTGTTAGACAGATTCTTGATATTAAAGAAATTTTTTATCATTTTTAAATATCATTTAATGATACTATATGACAAATATATGATATTTTCGATTCGAATGATAAAAATATATGAAAACATTTTCGATTCTCATATATAAAAAAAAATTCAAAATTAGGATTTTTTATTATATTGAATAAACTAAAATAGATACGTATATAATGAGATAAAATCAGTTAGTGGATAATAAAAAAACAACTTTTAACTCATATTTCATACTGAAAATCAATATATGTAATAAATGCTAGAACATATACAGTAATGAAGTTGACAATATCTCAAAGTATATATTATTATATGAATCGTTTAAATTTATCAAAGAAAGATATTATTATTTAATGAAAAAGTGACAAGGAGTGATAAGTAATAAAAATTAGCTTTGTTTAGTACGTAACTATAAGCAAATCAATAAGAAAGAATAAGAAGAAAGAATAAATCAAAAATAAAATCATTTTTCATTCTCATCATTTTAAAATCATTTTTTTAAATTCTCAATTTTTGTATTAAATTTTATATCAAATGATTATGAGATATCAATTATGATAAATTTTTTAATTAAACTGACAATTAGTTTTTGAGTATATGAGCATTCAAAAAAGTCAAAATTCATTGATGTATTAGCCTATAAGTTTTAATAAACTTTTACGTTATTTAATTTAAAAAATTATTCTTACAAATTTTTCCAACTGTTAACAATATGAATTTATATTAATCACTTATAATCATTGATTTAATATAATGGATATTAAAAAGACATTAATTACAGTGATATTTTTTTTATTTGGATTTCTGAAAATGATAATGGATACATTACTACAATATTAGGATTAAATATATGCATTTCATAATATTCAATGTATTTAAGGAATCATATAAATAACATAATATGACTGCAATGGTTTATAATTCGAACATCACTTTTTGTATACAATAATACTCTGTAATTGATTTTCATCCGATTTTAATTTTATCGAGAAATATATAAAAATGTGATCACTTATATATACAAAATATTTTACATATTTTACATATTTTGCATATATAATATATATATATATAAACATACATATCGCTTTTTATTGCGATATATTATGTATATTAATATTTTATATAGACTTTACTAAAAAACAATTTTCTAACTAAAATTTTATATAAATATTATATATAAATTTTATATAAATATAATTCAAATTATAGAATATTGAGAATTTGCTCTAAACTTATGAATAAGAAAAATATAAATTAAAATACATTAGTATTAAATTCTAAACTATGAAAAGCTAAATTATCAATTATTTTATGGAATATAAATAACATAAATAATAAATATAAATTACTTTAAATTTCGAAAATTAAATTTATTATTAATTTATTTAAATTATTAATTTTTAATATTTTTATAAATATTAGATCATAGTTTGGGAAGAAAATTTGTTGATATATGGTTTGCTATATTACAATTTTGTGAAAAATTTTAAAAATCTGAAAAAAGTTCAAATTCATTACAATTACAAAAATTTTCAAAAACAATTTTTAAAATTATCAGAATAATAAAAATTTATATATCGAAACATAAATTGTTGAGTTTTGATTTTTTTAACCATCCATATTCTGAAAATTTGTTTTAATTGTTAAACTTAAAAATTTAATTAATGCTTCATATAAATAACATATTGGTCATTTTGCCCAAAATTTAATTACACAAAAATCAAATATGAACGATATTTTATATTTTTTTCAATATCTGAAATCAATTTTCCAAAGATATAAATATGTGTCTTAATTATCGAATTAATTTATATAAGTATGCTTAAATTATCTATAAATAATTTATAAAAGAAAAAACAAAACACTTTAAGATGAAAATTAATTCTATAATTGTATGGAATATCAAAAGTTGATGGCAAGTTTAAAAAAATTTAGAAAAAATGCCTCTTTTTACAACTCACTTTCTTTCTTTGTGATAATTGATAGCCCGTGCCATGAGAATCGCTACCATCGGCCGCAATGCTTTTCCCTTACCATCGAAGTAATACGTCGCTATAGTTTGTAGCTCCTTATATATTGTGTTTCTGATGAGTTCCTAGAACAATAACAAACATAACCTTGACTTACTAAAATAGAATTTTCTGATGAACATTAGAAAACCAATCATACGTTTCCGTTTGTTTCTTTATATCTCATCTATTTATTTTGATAATTTTCACATATTCTCTTTAAAATAAAATTCAGACTTGGATGCATTTTTTATTTCAAATAAATATAAAAGATAATATATAATAATATATATAATAACGTATATTAATATAATGTATATTATATTATATAAATAATAATGTATATTAATATATATTAATATATAATAATGTAATATAAAATAATAAATTATTTTAACTGATCTTTATCTTATTTGTATCTTTATTTGTATTTTTATTTTAGAAATAGAATTTCGTAGTTTAATAAAAATTCGAGAAAAATTCAAACGAATTTTAGATTAATTTTTACTCGAATTATTCATTTAAATAATAAGTTCTTGAGATAAAATCTTTTAAGGATATTTTAAAGAAGTTTCCTTAAAAATTATTTTAAAATTATTTTTTAAATTATTTAAGAAATAATTTATTTGTCAGTTTATTTATTATTTTTTAAGTCTTATATGTAGATTATAAATTTTATACAAAACTAAGTTATTATGAAAAACTAAATTATTATAAATTATAATTAAAAAAATAAAACTTAAATAAAGATTTTTTTATTCACAAATATAATGCAAATTATACTTTGAATAATTGAATATTTTGTTTTTTGTATGTCATATATGTAATATCTGAATTATCTACATTCAAATTTTATAAAAATATAAATATTTAATCTTTTGTTATTCGAGTTCGATGAAAATAATTAATTTTTTAATATATAACAAATATTTAATTATTATCAAATATTTATATTATTGTTTTTAATTAACATTATTATATGCTTATTATAATTATTACTATCTTTATTGTCCAATAATTTATAAATTATAAAAATTTCAGAAACAAATTTTTCATTAATAAATGAATTTTATTTCTTCGAATAATTATATCATATTTTTATTGATATTAAATTTATTTAATATTATAATCTTTTTCTTTAAAATTGTTTTTAGCATTTAAATGAATTTTTTTATTTTTTAAATAATATATTTATATATTTATACTATTATGCCATTTTAGTTCTTGTTATTATAACACAATTAAAAATATAAAATACAATAAATATCCTAATATTCTAAAACTAAAATTATTATATAATAATTTATATTCTTAAATTTTTGAAAAATCTTGAAATAAATTATATATATATATATATAATTTAAAAAATAATTTAAGAATAATTTAAGTATGCATGTGCAAAAAATTTTATTATAATCACATAAGAAAACATATATATATATTAGAAAACGATATAATACATTTCTAAATTATAATAATTATATTAAAAGGAACAAAGTACAAACAAAAAACGTTCATTAAATGAGAAGACATTAAAATAAATATGAAATGAAAAAATAATTTTCATTTTATTTAAATCTATTATTAAATATTTTACTTTTACATATAAATTAAAAATTAATCTCATATTTTTAAAATTAAATATTGATCTCATATTTTTACTATATTTATTTTTCCTTTTATAATTTTTTTTATTTTATTTGAAATAAAAATAATTCGTATAAGAGAAGAATAATTGTCAATACATAAATAGAGTTTGAAAAATTAAAAAAATTTCTCTTTACAATATATAAAATTTATATATATTGATTTTAAATAATGTCTATAAAATTAAATTTATCTATTTAATTATATATTAAGTATTTTTTCATTGCTAAATATAGTCTAAAATGATAATATCCTATATATGTGTCACTTAAATTAAGAAATTGATATATTTTTGAAATAAAAAATTTATGTATTATCACAAAAAAGATATAGAATTTATTTTAAATAAATACTATTATTTATTTTATTTGTTTTGGTTATGGATCATTTATGGAAATTTTATAATTAAAATTTTCATTAACACATTTATTTCTCTCAATTTTATTATTAGATTAAAGAATACTATTATTTTTATTATTAAAATAAAATTTAGAAGTATCATAATTAAATTTATATTTTTATTTTACATATTTTCTTAATAATCAATTAAAATTTTTAGAAAAATCTAATATTTATTTTTTTAATATTTTTATTAATTGATATTTTAATTGATAACAACTTATAATTGATGATAATTAATAACAAAAATAATAAAACATTAGATATTGTACGTGTCTTCATTTAAATTAATTATCATATTAAAATTAACATTTTCAATCTATAATTATATATTATTCTTAATAATCTGGAGATTATCTTTCAAATATTTATTGCATAATAATGGGATCAAATATTTCACAAATAGATTTTAAGTTTATCTAATTCAATTCGAATCTTCTATAAATATTATAGAAAATAGAAACAATACTTTCAAATATATTTAAATTTATATTTCATCAAATAAATTCAAAAATTATATAAATATTTCATCATAAATTTTCTGATTCTTCTGATCTTTCTTACTATCTTTAAAATCAATTATATTATCTTTTATGTAAAATTTAATTTTATAATTCTATCTTTTTATAATAATTTTTTTTCTATTCTAAGAAAGAATATTTATTGTCAAAAGTAGAACATATTATTAAAAAAAAATGATTAAAATCAATTTTTTATGAATAAAATAATTTTTAAATAATTATAAATTTAACGAACAAAATAATATGTTATTCAAAATCTGTTATACAATTTTAATTTCGAAAATTCGAATAGATGCTATGTATTAAAGATTTTTTTTTAATATCGTAATATTTATAAATATTATTTGAAAATTTGTAAGTATTTATTTTAAGGTTTGATATCAGTTTGTATTGAAATATTATTGCGTTTAAATAGTATTTGAAATCTATAAAAAAATATAAATATTGATATTGAATTGGATTTGAAAATATATCTATATTAAAATTAATCCCTTATACTTATTACTTACTAATCGATATATAATTCGCTGTGTAAAATTTAGTAAACCCGATTGATCATATGATCAATCAACAATATCTCAATGATTTAATTTAGTGATGAACATGATAGACTTTCTCATGATATTTAAGTAACTCCGTTCTCATTTAAAATTCATTTGGTATCAAAATAGAATATGCATATAATATCAAATTGCATCGGTATCACAACAAAACTAAAAATATCGAAATTATTCGAATTAATATCGAGTATTTAGTCATTTTAATAAATTAGAAATCAAAAAGAATCGAAAAAAATTGAATCTCAAGATTACATATATTTATTGATATCAATTATGAGAACAAAAATAGAATAAAAATATGCTGATACATTCCAAATAAATTGTAAATATACTAATTTTTGTTACTTTAAATTGATACTAATTTTTTTGTACTTTAAAGATTTGAAACAGTTATCATTTATAATTCAATTTCTTTTGATAATAATTATCATTTATAATCCATTATAAAATTATTCATATTAAAAAATAATTTATTTGTATTTTATAAAATATAAACTTATTTTATATAAAATAATTTAATTTTTTATGTTATTTGCAAAACAAAAAAAATAATTCGTTATTTCAAATAAATTTTCCAAGGTGATTGAAAAATACTACTACAATAGAATGTTTGATTGAAATACTGTTCTAGTTAACAAACTCGTACATATTAATCCGTTCAACATTATAAATTTATTTCGATTCAATACAGGTGTTACATATTTTATTCCAAACTAACTTATCAATCGGGCCCCGCATAGACAATCGATGCCCATAAGATAATAACGATTGCGTATATGTGTCGAAACAAAATGAGATACGAGTCTGTGATATAGGAAGAGAACAAAATAGCGAAAAAGGCGAAGACGGAATGTTTCGAATTCCAACTGCGAAATACGGCTGAAAGTTCGTCCTGGAATTTGGCCAAAGTCGAAAGGAACACTCGTTAACTGTTTCGCAAACTACGTCAATGACGCTTTCCACGTGGTCATTGAATCACGTGATAGGAAGTTACATAGTTGACGGAACAGATGAACTTAAAAAAACTTACATATTGAATGTCGTATATTCTTTTGATTCATTTGATATTGTAATTATTCTAAATCTTTAAAAGAAAATTGGATCATTAATAAAATTTTATTTTAAATTTTTTTTATAATATTTAAAAAATTAATATTATATTTAACAAATGATTTTATATTCTAATAAAAATATTGAATTTTTTCATTCAAAATTTTTTTGTATTTTCTTCAAGATATTTAAAAAATTTGAAATATTTAATTTAATTAGTACTATAATAAGTAAATACTATAATAAAAATAATAAAAAATAGTTGAGATAAAATACTATTATTTTGATAAATAATTTGGATTTTTTTCAAAATTTTAGATAAGACAGTTTAAATTATTCATTGAAAAAATTTTATTTTTAAATTTTTTCTATTATGAATTTTCGTCAAAAAAAATTTCAAATATTTGAAACAATGTATAGTTCTAGATTGCACTAAAAATATTGATAAATAATAATTAAATAATAATTAATAATAAAATAAGTTATACTATTTTTTTTTTAATTTGAATTTTTGAATAATGTATTTAAAGACACATTGGAAAAATATTATCATAATAATCTTTATTTATATATTTTATTGAAGAATATTTAAAAAAATTGTAAAAACTTCAAAAATCTACAAGATTTTGATGAAAAAGAAATTTTGATGAAATTAAAAATTAATATTCGATAAAGTTCAATTTCAAACAATATACAATAAATAAATAATTCATTCTATTATTAATTGATATTTTTAAAATGTGAAAAATATTTCGAGGCTTAGATTATTTTTCCTATAGTTTAATCCAATATAAATTTATGTATTTAATTTATATATTTTCTTCAGCTGAATAGATTATTCGGCTTCTAGTTTTAGATTTATTTCTCTATCTATTAACTTGAGAAAAGTAGAGCGAAACGAAAAGTCGC